AACCTGCTCCGTTATACAATTCCAGCCAGTCACCTGGGGGGTAGAGGGGATTTTCGGTTCGGTGACACTCTGCAAGCCCGCTCGGTCTGGCTATTTTCACTCAGAGCCATCACAGGCTTGTGTTTTAGCCACCTCCCTCTCTCCAACAGCTCGCTCGGCTCATCTGGTTTTAATTTATGTTTGGCCCCTCTCTCGTGGCCGTGCTCCCCTGCCTGCCTGCGGAGCGGGGCCGGCTGTGCCTGTATCTGCCTACAGCCACCCCAGCAAACACGGCAGCTCCAGCGGTGGGTGGGCGGCCGGGGGACGTGGGACGAACCCTGCTACCCCATGACACTGGTGTGGGCTGAAGCTGTGCACCCTTCTCCGAGGTGGGATGGTGGCTCCTGTGCCAGAAGGTGAGAGATCCCTTCAGACCACACCATGGCCACCCCTGGGGCTTGTCCCAGCTCACCAGGCAGTGTCCCATCCCGTCTGCAAGGGCATGAGCAGGTACTGCTTGTCCTCGGTAGGTGACGATTCAAAGAAATGTGAACTTGTGACATGAAGCGAAAATTGCTAACAACTTTGCTTACAGTTCAGAAATTAGTTACACAGCGTGTCTAATTTTCTCCTCTACTGGCTTTTATGGTTGACTCTCATTTCACTCAACACTGCTGGAAGTGTGTAAAAAATGAAGAAAGTGAGAACCCGTCATTTCTTAACCTGCTTAAAACCCAACTCTGGGGACACGAGGGAGAGGCCAGGTGGTGAAAGCCAATAATTTAGATGAGCTGAAGGGACATATTAGGGTAAAGATCAGATCCTTACATCCTTAATCATATCCTTAGCTGCTATAAATCAGTATAGTTTCATTGTATAATTGACAGGACAACATTTATTCAGATGACTAACTTAGTCAGTATAATTATTAGGTTGTTTTATGTCAAGATAGCCAAAAGCTGTTCACTTTATTTACTAACTAGGAATGCCAGCTCTTTGTTCCCTGTACAACAGTTGTAGGTTTAGTTATATACCATGGTGTGTGCTTTGAATATGACTTAGTGGCAGTACAGCAATTGTCATTTTCATTTGCCTCCACTTGGAGATCTAACCAAATAAAACTCTTATAAATGTCTTTTTTGATTGGGGAAAAGAACCCTGTCCTAACTTTATATGAAGAAAAAGATTGGGGATATAAGCAGCCCACTGAGTGATGCTATTAATTCATCCTCCGTGTTCGGTCAAGGCAGTGGCTAGGCGGTTTCACTTTCTGTTTCTTTTTGTCTGAGTCCCCTGCACCAACACCCTGCTGTGGCTCCGGCTCCAGTGGCGGAGGGTGAGCATTGGAATAAACTGTATTTCTCTTGAAGTTAGAAACCACCATAAACACATGGTCAGCGTAGCTAGTTTATGGCTGTAGTGGTGTTCCATTAGTCTAGGATCCAAGTAATTTTCTCAATATGATTTAAAAACACAGACTTGATGAGGAACTAAGCCAATTGACAACAGAGTATTAATGGGAGGCCCAGGAGTGGGTGAGATGCACAAGCCCCTGAAGCTCTGCTAAGGCAAAGCACCAAAGTTGCTAAAACTAACTTACTGCAACACTGGGAGTATTTTTACTATTGTGAAGAGGTGACAGAGAGGTTTGCTTACCAGAGGTAGTAAGCAAACAGCCTGATCCTCTTCTAGCAGTGCAAAGGAGGAGTAACTCCAAGTAGGTCAGTGGAATAACACCTGTATAAAAGTAGTGCAGCTTGCACTAGCTAAACGGTGCCAAGGTTTTACAGCTGGGATTTCCCCAAGTTGTATGTGGCAACTCATAGGAGTGAATTATTCATGAGTGCTTATGCCATAAATCTGCTCTTCTCGTAAAAATTGAATGGCAGAACCTGCAAGAAACTGCAGATCCACGCAGAGTCAGGAGGACTCTTTAGATATTGGTTGATTTTACCTACTTAGTCTGTATTTGCTATTTCAGATGATCCTAGCTACAGAGCATACATGTATTTTAAGATGACTCTGGGATGATACATGCCAAATCTCTGTTCCTACTAGGAAGATTGCATCATAGACTTTTCCTCAGGTTTGCAGTTACGGGAACCGCTTCCTTTCCCATGCATGATCACATGGCAGCACTGTAGCCATTACAGCAATTGCCTACATGAAAAACAATGCTATTTTTAGCTTTTTCTAAGGCAATTTGGTGGTGGGCGACAAGAAGCAGCCAACACCCCAAGGCCAGTCACTTCTGGAGTGGCTGTCAGTGGTCTGCAGTCCACGGCCAGCAAACTGCAGCTGCGGTGTCTCAGAACACGCTCCACGGACATTTCTGTGGGGTTGCTTCGAAGAACTGAGAACTGAGGTGAAAGTTGTGCTGTCTGTAACCTCTTGAGGGCACAGTTATGTAGATGGATACAGTCTTCACTGGTAAGTGCAGTGTTTCCAGCTGGTTTCTTTTGGACGTCCGAAGACTGAGGCATATATAATGTAGCTAGAACAGATTGTGAGGATGTATCTTTGACCATAACTATCGAGGCCATGACAGCAGGAAGTGAAGTTTAACAAATCTATGGCAAATTGGAGTCTGTAATTATTGATCTTCTTTTCATTGTGCCGTGGCAAGTCAATTCCACTTAAATAGAGAGACTAGAAATTTGCAGGTAGGCAGCTCAGATATGACATACTAATTTGGTGAATAGTTTCACTCTCTGAATGCAGAGCAATGATTTTAAGAACATCGCAATAATTTTAAGAACATAATGAACTTAAAGGTTAGCCAGTTTTATGAGAGGCAGTGGATCAAAAGACACAAGTATTGCAAGGATGGTCAATTTAAAGAGCGTTATGCTGGCAAGGTGAAGGTTTTCATTAAAATAATCAGTGCGCAGGAATTATAGCTGAAATCTGCGCTAGCTCAGAACTCCCTTTGGCTGCGTAGGACAGCTAAGCCAAGCTCAGAGGGGTATGAATCCAAGGGAACAGAGCATGAAACAACCTGCTGACTCAGACACCTCTCTGAACCTGACCCTTTGGCCCTGATTCTGAGTGGCATGTGAGAATTGAACCCTTTCCATGATGATGGGGTAGTCAGATGGTTTGTACTGTCATCTTCAATAGTGGTTGCTCATTGATTGTACTGAAGTAAAGCACAAATTTTGCTACTCCCTTCAGTAAACGAGCAAAGTCTTCAGCAACAGCTTCTCTTCCTCTCCTCATTTCTCTTTCTTGTTTTCCTTGTGTCTCATGGGAGTGCTGAAACTCCTGAAACTATGGGCTTTGAACTGCTGGTTAGAAAATCTGGAGAGCTCTTTAAGTAGAGGCAGATGAAAGAAACATTTGGTTATTTGAGAGAAAGGGGATACAACTTTTGATTTCATCTCTGAAAAAAAAAGTGGCCTCGGGAAAAGCTCTCAGCACCACATGAAATAGCTGCAGAATCCTTTTCCAAGTGTCCTATGCCAATAGTGGCCATAATAGTTTCCATCACTCCTAGGGTGCTCAAGGCAAGCGTTTACTGGGTGCAGAAGGCTGAAGAATAAGGAGTGCTCCATCAAGATGAAGAGAACGTTGAGAGTGGAGTGATGGCTCTGCGTTGTCTGTAATGAAATCATAGAGAAAGCCTTTGAGATTTTGGGCTGGAGATTTTAAAGACATGGATCCAAAGCAGATC